CACGTCTCTGTTGCTGGGCGGCCGAGACAGACTGGCCCAGTCCGAGTCTGCGGGACCGATCTACTCCTCCGCGAAGCCGCGGCTCAACGCCTCGAGCCGTCCAGTGAGTCGAGCAAAGTGACGCTTGAAGAAAACCCACCCCACTCTGCCAGTCAACCGGACTGGGATTGCGTGTGTACCGTTTTCTAAGTGATTGCGTGTATGTGGATTTTTGTGTGTTTTATTATTTGCATTTACATTTTCTAGAACTGTTGCGTAATCGTGTCTTTTTATGCTTGATTGTTTGTTTGCTTTTTTCTGTGTGAATGAGTGTGTGCATTTTTGTGTGTAACTGCGTATGGTGAATTTTGCGCAGGAGTGTGTGCTTGAACTTTTGTGTATGATTGCATGCGCATATTTTTGAGGGCGATTCTGTATCACTGTCCTTTTGTGTGTGATTGTGTGTAGCGATGCTTTTTTGTGTGTAAGTGGATATGTGTATTTTTGTGAGAGACGACATGTATTCATGTTGGCGTAAGAGTACGTACTTGTAGTTTTGGGTATAATTTTTCGTTTACGAGTAGGTTTTCGAGACTACCAATAGCTCAAATGTATGAAATGCAGTTACACCATTTCGTCTAAGGTGATTGGGAGAATGATGGTTAAATGTTTCCATTCAATTTCACATAACCTTGATTCCCGAAAGGTATTGGCATCCAGGCAGAAGTTGGCTGCAGTTCGACTCCGACTCAAATGGTCTCAACAGCAGCCACAGCAGGACTCGAACCATGTCAGTGCGGAGTGCAACTTCGACACGTTAACAGTCACACTCCATTGCCGTAAGTGGCCTTGGACCACAGTGTAGATGTGAATTTAAAAAAAGCCAAACATTTTTCATATAACATTCTGTGTAAGATTGTCTGCGCATATTTTTGTGGGCGATTGTGTGTCTATCTCTTGATGTGTTTGATTGCGTGGTTCATTTTTGAGAATCATTCTGTGTACGTCTTATTTTTTGTGATTGCGTGGGTTTATATTTGTGTATGATTGTCTGTGTCTATTTGTGAGCGTAATTGTGTATCCATTGCTGTTTTGGTGTGATTTTGGGTGCGTGCATTTTTTTTGCATTGCGTGTGTTAATGTTTGTGTGAAATTATGTGTTTGCAGTTGTATGCATGTTCAGCTGTGCATACTTTTATGTGTGATTTTGTGTGTTTCTTTTCCAGACGCATTGTGTGTACGTGGCTGTTTGTGCATGTATGCAAAGAATGGAGAGAATGTGTGAACAACGAGACCGGGAGTCGAGCCAGATGCAGTTTCGTCAAGCCAGGCATCGGACCGTGTCCGGCCCGAGGGCGCAGACCGCGCGACAACCGACCCTATCGAATGGGGTCATCGCGGACGCGTTGGTCCGGGCGGATGCGTTCGTGTCCGCCCATCGGCCCGGTCCGATGGAGCCGGTTGCCGAGCCGGGCTGCCGGCAACAGGTGACGGGTGGGCTGGTCGAGAGAGGCAATAAATAATCAAATTCCCCCCTCCCCTCAACTCGAGGAGACGAGCAGACCGACAGCACACATCCACCTGTCAACAGGACAGACAGAGTGATTTCTTCCAACCATTTGCATGTGATTTTATGCACGTCCGTCCGTCCGTCCGTCCGTCCGTCCGTTTGTTCGTATGTCCGACTAACCAACCGATCCGATTACGCAACGAAGACGGCCACGACGTTGCTGTAGGAAATCACTCGCCCCACGGGCCCATCGCGTCTCGGCTGTCATCGCAGAGACATCCGATCCGGCCGCAGTAACGGTTCTAGCCTGCCCGACTGACAGCCGCTCCACGGCACACCTTCACACACAGCCCACATTTCCCAATTATTCACACTCGCCATAACTTTGCCCACTTCGCCCACGTCTCTGAGGCTGGTTTTGCGCAATCTCGTCCGGTCCAGCCTGATTTATGACTGCGCCCCCATCCCAGATGATCCCACCTCCGACCGGTTGGTTGGTTGGCTGGGTTGGGTTGGGTGGACCCGGAAGAAGGGTCAAGGTGGGAGGGTGTGGGGTGTGGGGTGGGGCGGTGGTTGTGATGATTACAAGACGTGGGCGGTGTGATTAGGAGACGAAGCGGCCAGAGGGGCCAGACGCCCGTATCGAGGCGCGGAGGTGGGCAGAACAAGACGACTTTCGAGTTGGAGCCAGTCGCAAACGGTGCCGACGGATGTCGCGTGAAGAAGGCCTCGGAGTGGGAGATTGAGCATACTTTTCGTTTATCGCAAGATCGCTGATTATTTATTGTGAGATGTACCTGTCCTGTCTGGTTGTGTATGACGAGGATGTATGAAATGCAATGGACACGTCTTGTCGGCTCATTAGATTGAGGACAAATTAAACTACCAGTCGCATTGTCAGCCTAAGCGAAATTCATTAATATGAGATGTATTCACACAATTTCGTGTAAGCTAATGAAAGATTGGTAGAAAAAGAATTTTCCCACAATCATATCAGTTGAGCTGACGTTTCCATTCAATTTCACAGCGACAGTTGTTTTCATCCAGGCAGGAGTGGACTGCAGTTTCTGCATCTCATACTACTGATTTACTGGTAGTCTCGAAACCATGCTTAAATGCGAAGAATATACTAAGATTACCCCGAGAACTAACTATCAAAATCATCCTATATATAGCTACCTTTATAAGAATTTATTTTTGTAATATTCGCATAGCCGAGTGGTTAGCGTGTCAAGCTACCGTCCTGCACTGTCGCGGTTCGAATCCCGCTGAGGGTGTT